CGCGCCCATCCGAGACTATTCTGACGTCCACTACAGTTGCACAGCTATCTCGAACAGCGATTATGTCAGGTTTGATGAACGACGTAGGAGTAGGGGCTCTCAACTCTTCGAAGACGGTGTACTCCACTCGACGGAGACGTTTTGCAAGTTCCCTTGCAACCCGATTATGACGAGCACATCTGGCATCATGCGTGATCCAACAGGATTGCAAAATATTCACCAAACTCGCCGGCTGGCCACAGTTTCCACGACGTAAGATGGTCTGGCTACCACGACCATGCCGAGCGCTTCTAAATCTCGTCATGAGCAGGTTGCATCGGGGCCGGATACCTCGGATAAATATCCGTGGAAACACTCGTTCTGGAAATACGAGCCATTGATTCGAGAGAGGCGAAGCGACCAACTCTCGTAAACCGCGACCATCAACGCTGTTGTGCAGACTATCACCCCAAGCAGCCACCAGCTCCTCCTTTACGCATTCACCATGGACTCGGATCGGAAGGCTGAGATCCCGGACAATTTTTCCAAATGCGGAATCGTTGACCGCATTGCGTAGTACTCGGCACTGAGCAGAAAGGAGCTTCTCCATACGCGTTTTCCGCTGCATCGGGGTTGTTGCACTCAGACTTGGGACACCAAGTCCCCCATGTTGTTCACCGGCGTGGATGTAGCTGATCGGGGTGTCCTTCGTTAGACGTGGCCAGCCAAGAATATACTGTCTGAAGTAGTAGTCCAGTCTTTTTAGCGTGTTCCTGTGAACTTGGCCGGGCACGATTGAATATGCCAACCTTAGTATCAGGTAGTTCCTCGTGATATCCATTCTTTGATGCGGATTCTAAGGGGCACGCATCATTTCTTCGAGCAGTTTGAGCAGGTGCTGTCGGTGGTTAAAGGCCCCTTTCCCCTTGTAAGTAAAGGGAATGCCCAAATATGTTACAGTTTTTGTCGGACCCAGAGGAGTTATTAGTTCCTCGGCGAAGCGAAATGGCTCAACTGAGACTGCTGTTGCCCGATGTTTCCTGTCTCCACAAATGACCACCACTTTTGGTTTTCGGGCGTTTATTTTCATGCCATCTCTTCCCAACTCGACCGCAGCCTCTTCAAGCTTCTCTTTAGGACGTACCTGGATTTCTGCACACACGACCCAGTCGTCAGTGGAAGCAAAACCATCTACTCAGGTGTCATCGAACTGGTATCCCAGTTGCTGCATCGACAAACCAAAAACCTCATCCATTGCCATAATGAATAATAATGGGGAGAGTGGATCCCCTTGCCTCACACCGCTGTGGCAGTGAACCTCAAGACTGGATAAAACTGCTACAGCATTCTCATAGGACTGTGCGATGTATCGAACTAGAGGTGATGGAGCTCTAAACGCCTCGGCAGATCTGACGATTGTGTCATGCGAAACCGAATCAAACGCTTTCGAGATATCATCAACTGCATAACTGAGGTTAGAAGTAGTCGCTGAAGAGTGACGAAAGAGGGGATGCAACAGCGATGTGGCTTCCAAACAGCAGTATCAATGCAGAAGTGCAAACTGAAGTGAGGGCAGTTACAATCCGAGCATCCTGGGTGTGAGCTTGTCCAGGCCTGAGGACGAATTGCTCATTAAACGGATCGTACTGCCGACTTCCTCTCCTGTAATTGGCTCGATCAAGCTCCAGTCGGATAGTACTACTACGTGGTTTAGTTGGCTCTCCGCGTGTTTTGGAGCCGATATCACTTGTTTCCAATACTGCTCGGCGTCCATAGGTAGGCCGCAGTTACCTTTGTATAAATCCTTCCATGACACATTGAGCACAGCAGACGCTGCATCTTTCCGTCTTTGATGGTATAGGGTCTGGCTGGCGGCGTGGTTGGCTCGGCGGATCTGCTTTCGGTTGACCGGGATCCAATGGGCTAACTGACGGTGACGTCGGGAAACAGTTTTCCAGTGTGTGGAAACGTCCTGGAGGCGTGGAGGTCCAGAAGCGACAGGACTTGGTCCGGTGTCATGATGCCAGACTGCAACCCTAGAGCAAATGCCAGAAGGTCAACACTAACAAGCGAACGGTCAGCATGGGATTCCAAGAGTGACACGAGGCAATCTACGGTTTGTTTAAACCAGACGCTGTAGTCATCGGCTTCTTATGAGTGGCCTATCGTTTAACCGATAGTTTGGTCAGGTCCACCAGATGATGATTCGTCCTATTGTGCTAGCCAGTTAAGCACCCGTAACCTGGTCTTGATGCTGATAGCCGATCGACCAGGAAAATACTGCCTTAATCTCGTGAACAGCTCAGTTTGCGTGCCACAAGATATATATAAATTGTTAGCCAGGCGTAAGAGCGATTGTGGCTCTCGCTAGGACCAGCGGGTACCGGAATACTTCACCCGGCCAAGCCGGGGTGTGCGTGAACCCAACGAGTCTTGTGTGTGTACTGGTGTAGCTCTCAATCCAGCGTGCTGATATAGTGCTGCAAACTGGATCAAGGGAATTTCCGATCTACGGATTCATTACGAAGCGAGCCCCACGAGTCTCTCCTGTGTACTGGTGTAGCTCTCAATCCAGCGTGCTGATATAGTGCTGCAAACTGGATCAAGGGAATTTCCGATCTACGGATTCAGTGATTACGAAGCGCATTTAGAGAGCACTGGACAAGAATGGATGACACAAAGACTGGTCCTAGTTGGTCCGGTGAAGTTGGAGTTTGGACCTTCGGAATGAGGGTAGTACAAGCACGACACGAGTGTGTCGGACAATCCCAAGAAATATCGAGCTAGAGCTTGGTGTATACAGGGTGTATTCTTGGGACTAAATTCCCCTTTAAACGGATCGCAGGGGTGCAGTCACCTTCGACCCCAACCCACCTTCCACTACAGATCGAGCAAAGCACACGCTTTGGTAGTTTGGGGTAGGTAGTGTAGCCACACGGTAACCGCTAGGGTAGATGACGAAAGTGTCGGGGTACAGTTTCTGGGTGTGAAAGTGTGCAGGTATAACGACGACAGGACCCACCCGGGTGTCGTGATGCCAAACCGCCATATTCGGGCAAATGCCAGAGTGTCAAAACGAGCAAATGAACTCAGCATGATATTCCAAGAGGGACACAGCGAACTCCGCGGTTTGTTAAAATCAGGTACTACTGCCATTCGCTTCTGATAAATAAGCAATTGTTTGACCGATTGTTTGGCCATGACTGCTCCATGCTAGTTCATTCCGTATTCCTTGCCAGTTCAGCACTCGTAACCTCATTATGATGCTGAGCGCCGATTAACTGCTGCTCCAGTCTCGTGAACAACGCTGTTTGCGTGTCACAATATTTCGAACAACTTTTCAGTTGGTTGCCAGCCATACCCAACTTGGAATGCCGGCACCAACAGAAACAGTGGGCTGTGACGATGGATTCCTCTCCGGCGTTTATCGCTGCTCTAGCACCAGTATGATCCTGACTGTAACAACTTCGCACCTGCTCAATTCAGGAGTGGCGGTGAATTTCCCACCTAGCATTCGTACAGCCTGTGTTTTTATTTCGGGCGAAAAGGCCGTTCCAGATTACTGGGGTCAGTCAATCATAGTGCCCATTTCTAAAAAGGGTACTGGGACTGAACGTGGTAATCGCAGATATGTCAGCTTGACGTTTGTAATGACAAGGCTCCTGGGTTCACTAATTCATCACCATGAACGTTACGTGCTATTTGAACCGGGGGCTAACTCGAACCCTTCACACCCCATCAAGTGTTAGAGCCAAGCCACGTGTACAGAGGCCTCAGAATTTTGGCATTCCCTGATTTCACAAGTGCGTTCAATCCTGTCGAATTTCCAGCGCCCCTCCAGTGCATTTAACTCCCCAAAAATATTTCAACATAATCCGGTGATTACATCCGCATATTTCTGTGATTGTAATGTCCTTGAAAGCTTCCCTACTAAAGGTGACACTCTCAAACGGCAATTCATAACACATGGCCTGTAATCTCCGAAAGTACTCCTCATTATTTACGGAGAACCGATAAGGAATTTGGAGGAATTTGCATGTCTAAGTAGTCTTATTACCCATGAAGGAAAGCTGCCGATTAGATCAGAGCCACCTGCCGCGTCTACACTGCTAGACGGGCACAGGCCGTCCACCTACACACATAGAGAACAGCTTCGAAAGGATGAGTACGACTTTCACCGTATGTGGTTTGATATAACATAACCACTACGTTGTCACCAAATTCATCTTCGTAACGCGTGACTTCGGCATCAAACTGCATCGGATCGTGTCGCCGAAGCAGGGCTGTATTTATTCCTTACTCGTATGGCTCAACATTCTTTTTACCTGGCGATGTAAAGCACTGAAAATGACAAATGTGGAATACAGCGTTCATGGGACATCGTCCAATAGGGACTTTGTGTGGCGGTGGTGATCATGGCTAGAGCAAGCATGTGCTCTACTGCTGCAAAATGAACATTCTGCTACAAATAATTGCGGCCTTAATCAGGCGGAAAGCCTATTTACTCAGAAAGGCACCTGAGTTTTGGTGTTACAGGTCCCTCTGCATCGAAAGCCGTCTTTCTTTCTTTAATCACACAAAACTAATAGTGATTTTAACAGGCCTTGTCGTGCACTGCTTTAAAATGCTCTCCTGGTGGGTGGATGCTGAGGACCGATGCACGACGCAGTTCCAAGGTAAAAAGGTCTGAACCTATCCTTCCGATACACATCAGAATTTAAGGGAGTAGTGACAGATTAGTGGGTCACCAAGTGACTAAATAACCACGATAACTGTTCTCTGTATGCTCACTATTCATGATACACGAAAATCCTACGCGTTTAGAAGCAGATCGCCTAGGATGAGTCAGGTACCTTGGGTTATATAAAGTCCATACAGATTTGAATAGCTAAGTGGTTGGGGAGCAATCATTGTAATGAGATTATTACTTGATCGAACGCAGACTCCGGAAACTCGACCATCCTTTGCCATGTTTGGGCGAACTACGGGTAGCAGCTAATTCCTAATAAGCAAGTTGCGCCATGTCGCGCGTCTCCATTGGTCATCTTCCCGTTCGTTGTGGTGAACGCGATATCGATCGTTTCATGAAGGGCTATGGACGAGTGCGAGATTTTGTCTTAAAAAATGGATATGATTTCGTTGAATTTGTTAACGGAAAGGATGTGGATGATGCTGTGTGTGATTTGCATGGACCTCCGTGGAGAATGCATCACCCCCGTTTGGCGTCAGGATCGAGGGGTGGAAGCCACCTCTAGTGGTTATGACATTGCTCTGTGTCCGCATCATACGCTGCTCAAACCGTACACTAGCCTGTGATGTCCCTAGACTAATGACTTACCACCTCTGCGTCTTTCAGTCCTGTTCTATGCGAAATGGCAGATTGTATATAAGAATCGACGATTCAAACCGAGTATTTTGCGTCCCACCGACAAACGTTGTGACGCGTGTAGTGGGGTTTCATTTGGCCTACTTTCGTTAATAAAAGTTCCTTTATAATAATTCATTTTATCGCATACATGTTGCTCACGGTCTGATAAGTCATTTCCATATAGAAATCGACCGAGTGTAGTCAACAAGCAAGTCGTTCAGCCATTCTGCCCTTTCGGTCCCTAGCTGCCGTGCCACAAGAAGGAGACATGAAGGCTGGGATACTGCCAGGTTGCCCAAGCCTAGACAGGGGAAGTCGAGACGCACATGTCGGGTTCGAACCACGGACCTCCCAGTCAGCTAATGCGCGTTCTATCTACTTGAGCCATCTCGCCCCAAAAATTCTGTTCGTTATCAAAGAACAAAATCTTTCCGGGAGAATGCGAATACCTTTCTACACATGGTGATTAGATAATAGAGATCAACATCTCCATGGTTTGCACGGGATATTCCCACAATCAGACCAAGCATATCGTACAGGAAACTCCACTTAGGTCGATGTTTGAAGATAGACACATAATAAATCGGCCGCGAACGACTCGTTATCATCAGGAAAAACGAAAGCAAGACGAAATCGACAGCCAGGTCGGTTGAACCACACTTGAGTCTCAGATACTAATACCTAATACGCATTAAGAAAGTACGGATCGAGTGTACAAGCAATGTTGGCAGTATCAGAGCACGCACGGGCCGAGTGGCCGGCAAAGTCACGAAATATTTCAAAGTTCACTCAGCTGCGGTGTAAAACCATCAAGTTGATCTGCGGAAAAATTTTTGCGCATGACGCAACCAAAGGCTGGAGTAGGAGAGCACAACTCAAAACTCCGCCCTTTGGCCAACGTGAGATGTCACACGCATGGTTTACAACATGTGGCAAGGTGTACAAATCGCTACGTAACCCAAGTTATCCAAAAATCCGACATAATATTGCGTTTTTAAATGAATACAAAAGTCATGTTTAGGTTTCAAAATTTCTCCTGGTTATGAACATGAAATGCAAACTGAGATACAATTGTAATGGTGATACTGCTGATGGGGGGCATGCGAGTAGTATGTTTTCTCATAAATCCGCTCTGAAAGATTTGCTTTAAATTGAGTAGCGGTCAAGGAATATCTAGGAAATTTCAGGAAGACGCGTTCATGGGGAAGATGGATATTCAATTGTTGTAAACAAGATGCACATGACGGTTTTGCTTCCCTGCCCAATATTCTGTAACTGTTCAGTTGGTAACTCCGCGGCAAAAGCCCTCTTCCTTAAACCGTTAGCTCACGAGCATCATGTGAACAAAATCACCCAGGATTTTGTTCTCATACCGTTGGTAAACTCACCCAGGATTTTGTTCGCATACCTGCTTGAGAAAATCCAAACCTAAGTATTTACATGGTCCAGCTGCTTCTTCGAAAGCACGCGGACTCCTCGCCAGGCCCTTTTGGGACGTGCAATAGTCATATATTAATTAAAATGCGGTATTACCTACTTGAACTGAGATATGGCCTGTATCGGCCAGGTGCGAAGCATGTAGTCCCGTGAACTGAACTGCATAAGGATATCTCATGCCAGCCGCGCAACAAGAGACCCATGGTCCATGTTAGACTGTAGGACACACAGCGCGGCAAAGTAATCTGCGCAGAGTCGGTTGGTATA